GTATGTACCAGGAAGCCACAGTTTGATTCCTGGTCAGAGCACATGCCCTGGGTTACAGGCTCGATCCCAGGGGACATGCAAGAGGCAGCCAAATCAATGGTTCTCTCTCATAATCGATGTTTCTCTCTCTCTCTCCATCTCCCTTCCTCTCTGAAATCAATAAAATATTTTTTAATGTTTTGATTGATTTTAGAGAGAGAGGGAGAGAGAAACATTAGTATGTTGTTCCACTTATTTATGCATTCATTGGTTGATTCTTGTATGTGCCCTGACCAGGGATTAAACCCACAACCTTAAAATATTGGGACACCACTCTTACCAACTGAGCTACCTGGTTTAGCGCTAAATCTTAATTTTTTAATTTAAAAGTCATAAAAGAAAAGTAGAAGGATTAATTCAATTTAGGAGTATCCTATATAATAAAAGGGTGATATGCAAATTGACCCAATCGCAGAATGACCGGTATGCGCACTGACCACCAGAGGCAGACACTTAACACAGGAGCTGCCTCCTGGTGGTCAGTGTGCTCCCACAGGGCGAGCAGTGCTCAGCCAGAAGCCAGGCTCATGGCTGGCGAGCCCAGTGTTGATGGCAGGAACCTCTCCAGCCTCTGGTGCTGGCGGGCAGTAAGGTAAAAAGGGTTCTGTACTGTGAGAACCCCAGACTGGGAAAGGGATGTCTGACTGCTGGCTTAGGCCTGATCCCCGGGATCAGGGCTAAGTTAGCAGGTGGACATCCCCTGAGGGGTCCCGGACTGCGAGAGGGTGCAGGCCAGGCTGAGGGACCCCTCACCCAGTGCACTAATCTCGTGCACCAGCCTCTAGTATTCCTATAATGAAATACTACACAGTGATGAATGAAGTATTGCTAAAGGAAACATGGATGGGTCTCAAAATTATTATGCTGAGTGAAAGAAGCCGGCGCAAAAGAGTAAGAACTCTATGATTTCACATATATGAAAGGTGAAACTTAGTGAACTCTGTGATTTCACAACTCTAGAACAGGTGAAACTAACCTGTCACAGCGGTCAGGATAGTGGTGACCTCAGAATTCAGGTAACTGGGAGGGACCATGAAGAAACTGGGGATTGGAGACATTCCTGTACCTTGGGCTGTGTGGTGATTCTTCAGGTCTCTGCTCTGTGCTTAACATGTGTGCCCTTGAGGAAATATTGACCATTCAACTTACACACACACACATGCACACACATACACATACACACACACACAGAAAAACAAAACAAAACAAAAAAACCCAAACATTATTTTGTCCTGGCCGGTGTGGATGTGGCTAAGTTCTATTCCTGAGCAGGGCAAATGCCTGGGTTCCTGTCTGGATCCCCAGTAAAGGATGTGCAGGAAGCAGCTGATGGATGTTTCTCTCTCTCCCGCTCTCTAATATCAATTAAAAGCAGAACATTATTTTAATGTTATCATTTTTTTTAGTATGAGTGTATGTTTATTAAAGCTGGGGGCAGTGAAACAAGGAAGGGTTTAGCATAGAAGAAGCAACAGGAAAGCCGAGGCTGGGCTGCTGTAGCTCCCTGGGAAGTCAGAGAAAAGGGAGTCTTGGAGGCAGGTTCAGGGGGTGAGCCGGGTCAAGCTGCCATTGCCCAGGCTCCCCTGTGTCCCTCAGAGTTTAGGAGATGCATGCCTTGGTGGGGTGTGTGTGTGTGTGTGTGTGTGTGTGTGTGTGTGTGTGTGTGTAGAGAGAAGGAAGGGAATGGCACAGGCACATTCCCCAGGGGGAGAGCACGCTGAAGACATTATTGTTTTTTAAATTGTCATTGCAAGTTACCTGGAGAGCAATTCAGATGATGCCCAGACCCTGGGCCTGCCCACTGACTTGGCTAGGCCAGGCACAGGCCAGATGCCCACTTGCGCCCAACCGCTTGCAGCTCTTTAACCACGTGAGCCGGCTGTACGTGGTTCCTTGCAGAGTAGAATTCCTGCCCCACCCTGGCCCAAGCAAAACAACCTTTAAAATTGGCCAGCAGCCCAGGATTTAAACCACTTCCTTGTCTGATCCTCTTCCCTTTATGAGCGGCCAGGAGGAAAGTTAAAGCTTCTCTTGCTGGAGGACTGGGAGTTTGGGCACCTCTGCTCCATCCCTTGAACTTCCCAGAGTCAGAAGGGACCCTGGCCAGGTTTGGAAAGGTGAACCCCGCCCCCAGGCTCAGGCCCGCACCGTCCTCAGGGTAGATGCCAGCACCAGGGACTTCTCTCGTGGAAGTTTTGTCTCCTGGCTTGCCCCAACCCCCTCCTCGCCCTCCTTGTCTGTTTTCCCTGCAAAATGAGCTGAAAACTGACCTGGTGAGCTTGAGATAATATATAAAAGTGTCTGGAGCAGACTAAGTGCCCCGTGACTGCAGTTATGACTCCGAGGGCAGACATGGCTGTGCATGTCAGCCCCTGGCACACAGCCTGGGCTTTGTTAGACACTCTGTGCCCGCTGCTCCCTCCTCCCCGTGGTCTGATCAGACTGAGGGAGTGGGAAGAGCAGTCAGAGCAGAAGCCAGGCAGCCCAGCCCCACCCCCTTGGCTGCTCTGGGAGCAAGGCAGGAAGTGAGGAGACAGTCCTGGATTGCTGGAATGCCTTCTTTGCTCATATCTGCTGTGTGACCTGGGGCAAGTGAGTGCCCTCTCTGGGCAACGTTGCCTTCCTCCTCTGTAAAACCAGACAGGGGAGTCAGACCAGATAGGGGGAATCAGGAGACCATCTGAGCGCTTAGGGTGGGGCAGATAATTCTCAGCAGGATAATGCTCAGGGCTTTTTCTCAGGGGCCTGCATAGCTGTTTCTCCATTTCTGGGGCAACCCCCCTCACCCAAATAAATGCTGGCCTTTGTGTCAGCTGCCTGTTTGGTGGATGGAGGGGGAAGGGGGCGGATTCTGAGTCTCATACTTCCTGAGCAGAGGTCCAGTCCCCAGGTACCTACACACACACCTGTTGTGTCCTTGCAGGGGGCTCTGGAGCAGGAGTAAAAACCAATCCTTTGGGTATAACAAACTTGGAGGTCAAACTGAAGACAGGGCAAGTGTCCTTTAGACTCAGCCTTAGAACCTGGAGTCCCTTCTAATTGCTAGAAATAGCCTCCATTTCCCCATCTGCAAAATGGAGTGAATAATCATCCCACCACCTACTTCATAAGGTAGATGAACTTCCACAGAAAGTGGTAATGACTCCTGCCCAGTATGCTCTGTATCAGACAGCATCTTATGTGTACATTTGCAAAGGAATCCCTGCAATCACCAACAGCTCACATTGGTAGTGATGGGGGGGGGGGGGGTGAGTTAACAGAGCAGTGGTATTCCCAGAGGATTTCCTAAGATACCAGGTTTGGACCTGGGGCCGATTCTACCAGATTGGCGGTTTCCCATTTGCTGATGTTGAACTCCTGGGTGGTGGAAGCTCTGTTGGGCACTGGGATACTGAGGAAGTCCATTTCCCTAACAGGGCAATGGATTGGTAAGTTGGTAGGCTTCTGAGTGTGACAATTGAAATTGAGTCTTACAAGAGGAATAACAGATAAGGGAGAGCCTGAGGGTGATGCATCAGATGCAAAGGCAAGGAACCCTGAAGAGCAAGGTATGGAGCTTTTGTCAGCAGGGAGCAATGAGGCTGGTGAGCAATGAGTTCTGGAGGAGTGATGGGTTTACTCTTGCCTTCTTGGTTCAGAGTTTAGGAAGGCTGCTTGTGTAGCCAGATGAGGGGGAAAGTCTCAGCAAGACTTGGGAAGACAGCATGAGGCAGCCTCCCCAGCAGTCTTCCAGCTCCAATCTGCCCATCTGCCTCTGCCCTATCCCGCCATCAACACCTGCCATGATCTTGTCAAGGGCTCCACAGAACACAATGCTGGTTGCTCAACTTGTTCAGCGCTTTATTGAAACAAGGCCCTTACAGATGACTCATCAGAGCCTTCAAGCACAGCCCTCCCCACATCCTGAGATTAAAAGGTCAGAGGTGGTTCTGTCCTTGGTTGAGCTGCTACCTCGACATTTCCTCTTGAATATTTTCCAATCTTAAAAATGTAAAGATTTCATCCAGAAAGATACATACATATTCTTGCCGAAGGCTGTCAGGCTCACTAAAATGCTTCCACCCGGGGGTTTATGTGCAAGGCATTGCTCATCTACAGCTCTCCATCCACTCCTCATCCATCCATCTGTCCATCCATCTGTCCATTCATGACAAGACAGCAGCAAGTTCTCAGAAGTCAGGCCCCAGGGTTCACAGCAGTGGGGGCTGGGCTTCCAGGGAGGTTAAGGACACAGGCCTCAGCCCTCACCCAGGGGCCCCCGTGTAGAACATCCCTTTCCGAGGCCGCAGAGGAATTAAGGTTTGAGTCTATAGCCCCACCTGGACCGGGAGAGCCTAATGGGTAACTTCGAGTGGGTCAGCCCTCCCTTCAGGGGACCGCTTAGCTGCCTGTGGGTGTCCTGAGATGGGAACAACAATCAGACAGACAAATCAAGCATGCAGGTAACACTGAAACAGGAAGCGGAAGAGCTTACGTCTGTGCTGGAGGTGCACGTAAGGCGGGACAGGAAAGGGGACACACAGACGCAGGTAGGAGTGCTACTGAGGGCCGGGCACAGTGCTCCTCCCAGGGCTGAGGTGTCTCTCAGCCTCAAACATACAAAGCCCCTAGGGAAAAGGGGACTTTTCTGGACACAGGAAGACAAAGTGTTAACCTAGACAAGGATGAAAAAAACATGCAAAAGGTTCCTGTTGGACACAAAAGACTTCCTTCGAGCTGGACATAATCCAGTTTCACTGTCAATAGGCCGGGGTTCTTTTAGGGGCTGAGGTGTTGGGAGAGGGGTGGCACCGGGATATGGAGTATGGTTGGAGTGAGACAAGGGGATCAGGACTGGGGCGGGTGGACAGGACACCCTCCCTGTCTGGGGCTCCAGCAGATCCTCAGTATTACAGGCCTCTGAGTAGCTGATGCCCAGGCCACTCGAGGCAATGAAGGTGGGTGAGTCCGCGGGCAGCCTCTCACTGGTCCTGCAGACGGCTGCAGAGCTCCCTCCGGCTCCGCTCCCCAGCCCAGCTGCGGGTCTTGAGGCGGAAGGTCCTCAGCTTGTCCCTGAAGGCCTCGTGGTTCATGGGCCGATAGTCCTGGGGTTCACAGAAGGTCTAGGGCAGGATGGGAGAGGTCAATCGATATGGGGGAATGGGGAATGGGGAATGGGAAATGGGGGCGGGGGGGCAGCCCTCCCTTCTTCTCTTAGGGTGTTGCCTGGCCAAGCCCTTCCCTTGTAGCCCAACCCTCCCCCAGAGGCCGTGGCCACCCCCGCCTGCGGTACCGGGTGCTGTGGGAAGAACTCCTTGTAGCCGCCTTTGAGGATGTACATCTCAGGATAGTAGAGGCTGGGGTAGTCATTGATGGTGCGATCTCGCTCCCTGATGAAACGGCACCTGGGACCCATGGGTGCGGGAGTCAGAGCTGGGCATGCGGTAGGATGGACCTCAGGGAACTTGCTCCCTGCCCACTCCTCTGAGCAGAACCACAAAAGGCACTTTAGGTCAGACTGGCTACGGGCACTGCAGAGGCTGAGAGATGAAAGGATGAAGGGAAGCCAGGGGAGCCTCCCTGTTTCCAGAAGGCAGCTGCAGAACCGCTGTCTGGACCGGGAAAGGGGAAGCAGAATGAAGAGAAGCTGCCAGAATTCAAGAGATATGCTCAGGAGGTCTGGTTAAGACTCGGTGAGGGCAAGGGGTGGAGAAAGGAAAGGACATCTGAACACCAGAAGGGTCAATGTCACTGAGGCCTGGGACTGGGTCCTTGGAATTTAAGGACACTGGGAGGGGGTGACAAAGGATACAGGGTGAGGCTTGATGGGAAGGACTGTCAGAGGGAGACAGGGGGAGGGTGCCAACCAAGCACAAGGAAGTGGGGATGAGGTCTGCTTCAGGCAGTCAGACGGACAAGAGGTCCAAGCCAAGGAGGGGCCTGGCCCAGGCTCTTGGCCATAGGATGGCCCGAGTACCTACAAGCTTGGGTGGAGCTGGGACTCACATGCGGGGCCCACGCTCAGATGAGAATTCACAGTGGAAAATGAGGATGATCCTCTTGTCCAGGCTACAGGGTGTGATGGGGCTCTGCAGCAGGAACATCTCAGCGTCCTGTTCCAGGGGCAGGTTCACAGCAGTCTGCAGGGTAACTGGAGATCAGGCCACTGCCCTGGGCCTGGCTGGCAGACCCCGCCCCTAGGCAGCTCCCATCTATCAAAAGGGTGACCCCACCTCTTGCTGGGCAGGACCCTTCCCCACAAGAGGGCGCCCCACAGATGAAGGGTAGAACGGGTGGGTCTTCAGCACCTCTCCCGTCTTCTGCCTCACCTTGATGTGCCCGCCTTCATACTCGTAGGGGTATCTGCAGTCCACAATCACAAACCTCTCCACGATGTTGCTGAACTTGCCCATCAGCAGGGCCACCATCTGCAGGAGGCCACGGAGGTGGGTTCCAGCAGGTCAGGGGCTAGCTTCTCACCCCACCCTGCCCAGAGCTTGCAGCCCATTCTCAGCAAAGGGTCACAGGCTCATCTGCACATACCGTTTCTGGTGAGATGTACTTGAGATCTTGGTGCTTCCCATCCACAGTCTGTAGGAGGAAGGCCTGCAGTGAAGCAGGGGGAGAGAGCTCGCGTGAGGAGGAGAAGGGGAAGAAGGTGACATGGGGAAGATGAGGAGCACGGAAAGGACAGAGTTTCTTTCCCAAGCCCAGAGGCCACACCTGATTTGACCTTCAAATTCAGCTCTGGTTCCCATAGCAACCAAGAGGAGCCTTTTGGGTCTGATGCCCCAGGAACAAGCTTTCAAGGGGAAATGAAGAGGAGCAGAAGCGATGGACTCCTGCCTCTACCTCCAGTTCTGCCAAGGCCGGGAATGAAGCCCGAGGAGGGTCAAGCTAGACGTCCGTTTTGGAAGTGTTTTCCAAGGTGCAGACATCACTGATGCGTGGACACATGTGGGATAGTCAGAGAGTAGAGTCCAGGTGAGAGTAAAGGGTGACAGCATGCAAAGGACAGAGCAAAGGGGCCTCTGGGGAGAGAGGATGGCACCGAAGCGGCTCCTGGGCTCAGGGGGCTCCTGTCGGCAAGGGGTGGAGCCTGAGGGTCTTGCCAGCCGGTACCTTCGAGTAATCCCCAATCAGCTCACGGTGGTCACTGTCCAGGATGTTCTCAATCTCGTCGTGGCACAAGGACTTGGAGCGAAGGACACGGGCTTTCTGTGAGACAGAAGGCAGCCACGATCAGGGGGAAGCTGCCCCTCCAGGTCCAGTCTGGCTGGTTACCCCACCCCCGCACCCCGCCTGGCCTGCACCCTGGCCGAGAAGGGCTTGCAGGGGAGACTGGGGAGGTGGCAGCCCCGCCCCAGGAGGCGGCTCTCACAGGTTCCTCGGCCTCCTGGTGCTCCTCCAGAGGGGTCACACTCCTCCTCCGCTTGTTCTGTACGGGCAGGTCCCTGTCCTGAGGCCGCTCGAGTCTCTTGAGGATGGGCCGGATCACACCACAGGGCATGGACGGAGAGCGGAAGAGCCGCTGGCACTTGCTGTACATGATGAGGTCCTGGAAGGGCAGTAGGTCGGGGGTCAGAGTGCTCAGCTCCTGCTTCCCCCCAAACCCACCTGGAAGGTAGGGGCCACCCCAGAAGCTCACCTGCTCCTCCTCCTTTTCCAAAGTTTTGACCAGCGGGGCACTAATGAGGCTCTCCATGCCTGGAGGAACCGAATCATCGTCCTGAAGACAAGTCAACAAGGATATGGGTCACACCAACAGGCACAGGCCAAGTCCCTCAGGCCCCAGTCCTCCAGCGCAGCCCCCAGAACCAGGAGAGGGCAGGGACCTTCTCTGCTGGGGCTTGCACAGAGCCACGAGAAGCCATGCAGGGGCGCATTCCCTCCCCCTGCCCAACCTCCCCCCACTGCAGCACCAGCCACTGCCCTTCTCTGATTGGCCAGAGCTCTGGCTGTGACTCAGTTACCTCAGGTCTTCTGACCCTGGGGTGGAGCCCAGAGCTCTCCTCTCTGGGACATCCCAGGGAGGGAGATGTAGGGGGCCTGATGGAGCAAGGCTGCTTACCTTTAAGTCATTCTCCAGGATGTCCACAAACCCGTCATCTTCTTCGGGAACCCCCCTGGTGGGGGTCAGGGGAAAGCGCTGGGCCAGGGGACTCAGCTCGTCTACTTCCATCTTCCGCTCAGGGGTGAGACACTGGTATGGGTGATGAACAGATGCAGGCTACTCAGTGGTGGGGGACCCAAGGAAGTCCCCACCCCTATCCTTCTTTTTAAAAAAATATATTTTATTGATTTTACATTGAGAGGGATAGAGAGTTAGAAATGTCGATGAGAGAGAAACATCGACCAGCTGCCTCCTGCACACCCCCACCGGGGATGTGCCCGCAACCAAGGTACGTGCCCTTGACCAGAATCGAACCCGGGACCTTTCAGTCCGCAGGCCGATGCTCTCTCCACTGAGCCAAACCGGTTTAGGCCCCACCCTATCCTTCTGATAAAAGGTTCCGCTGCCTCAGGCTCAGAACCACCCTCCCATCACCAGGCTGCCTTGGGGGGGGGGGGGGCTCCTGCCCTGTGTGCGTGCCTGCCCTGCAAGGGTCAGCTGTCCCATGTACCATCAAGTCGGGGGCCGAGCTTGGCCTCTGGGCAAAGGCTTCCCTGCGGCTGGCCCACTCAGCCAGAGCGCGGGCGTGGTTGGGATGTGTGGGCTTCCATGGCATCTTGAAGACAAATCCATCCTGTGGGTGGGGGGTGAGGGGGATGGGAGGTGGCGTCGGCAAATGCCAGAGAACCACCCCAGCGTGCCCCTTCTCTCCCCGGAGTTCCCATCCTGGCCTGCGCACATTCTCCTTATCCTCCTCGGAGCTGTGGGCCGTTTGGTCCTGAGCCTCGCTCTTCTTCCAGCTGCCAGGCGCTTGGGCATTGGTGATGTTCCGCAGCACAGGGCTGTGGCCCAGAAGCCTTACCTGGGGAGGGGGGAGGGGGAGGGGGGGTGGAGGGGGTGGAGGGGGGAGGGCGCAGCAGGTACTGAAGGTTACATTTCTCTGGCACCAGCCCAGGCCCTACCTTCTTCCATCCCTCCCCTGAACCCCCCTGCTCACCCATCCACCACCCAACTCCACCTCCCACAGCCAGACCAGGAGTTGGGCCTTGGAACCCTCCTGCCCTTCCTCAGAGGGCACTCACCGGCAAGGACTGGAAGCGGCGGATGGTGAACTGCTTGCTGCAGAAGGAAACAGGGACACGTCAGGGCGGGGGAGTCTGGGACCGTCATGGCGAGCATGCAGGATGTCCCTCCACCAGAGCCTCGAGCACCCTGCCCATGCCAACGGGGGCAGAGGTAGCCTATGGCGGGTAGACCACCGGGGCCTGTATGGGGAAGCCCACGCGCTTACCTTCGAACGAACCGGCTAGCTGCCTGGATGGCCTGTTCAAACCTAGGAGAGAGAAGGGTCCCATGCAGCCCACCTCCCACCACAGCCCAACAGCCACCTCCAGCATCAGGTCCCCAGCCCACAAGACCTAAGGACCCGGGCTAAGGACAGTGGAGAGGGGAAGTAGGAAGAATGTCAACTATCTGGGGACCCAGATATTGAGGAGGGGGAAGATGAGAGTCAGCCTGGGATTTTAAAGGCTCCCTGAATGGAAACGGGCCCAGAGAATGGCAGCAATGGAGACAGCTGGCGTAGGTCAAAAGGTGGCTGAGCGTTACCCAGACAACGGTCATGCCAGCCTGCCCACAGGCCTTCCACCTGTATGCAAATCACCTCAGCGGGGCCATATGGCCGCCAGGAGAGGCATTCATCCATCCCACGATGACAGGCCTTGGCTGACACGGAGGGTGTCTCCAGAGCCTGGATGCCAGGGCTTCCCTCCCCTTGTGTGGGGCTCCCTGGGCTCCCCCCAGGATAGCGGCCTGGCTTAGTGTGCCCTCGGATCAGCCAGTTTGCCATGCCCGCCCCCCTAGTGACAAATGTGCAGGGTTATACCCTCTTCTCCCTCCTATGGAATTTTTCAGGACCCAGCCTCTGCCACACCCCCTCCTTCTGCCTGAGGAGAGGCCAGCAGGCAAGGAATTCCAACAGATGTTCCTTTTGAGGCGGGAGCACAAGCTTCTGTAGACGGCCCCCCTCCCCCAGCTATGTTGCCAGAGACCACCTGCCATGCAGGGCTTTGTTCATCTATGCGTACACTCACTCACTCACTCTCTCTCTCTCTCTCTCTCTCTCACACACACACACACACACACACACACACACACTCACAGGCTTCTTTCTGAGAAACCGGTGTAACCGTCAAAGCAGGTGCAGAGTGCGGGGAGGAGGGGCACTGAGAAATAAAATGTCAGGGGGTGGGGCCCCAAGGTGTGGGCAGGTGTCTGTGCCCAGACAGCCTGACATCAGGGATAACCAATTTCATAGGCTTGGTCTCCAATCTGCACCTGAGCCTTGGGGTAAAGCAGGGGCAGCCCGTTGCCACCAAAACCTAGCTTGCAGTCCCTCCACCCAATTCTTTTCTCGTTTCCTGTTTGTGAGCAAACCCTGTAGCCCAGCCTAATCTGATCAAAGGCAGTGGGAGGAAAAACAGCCACTGCCCTAACTCAAAGCCATAGTCCCCCAGCCAGGCTGGGGGTGCCCAGCTGTCCTCACTAATGCCTGGCAGCTGCTCTCCCTCCTGAGGCTTGAACAGCTGGATAGACAGCTGTGCTCTGGAAAGTACTACTCCTGCCCCACAACCAAGGGGGTGGGATCTAGCCCACCAGCTCCCTCTCCAGGCCATCTCTCAAAGAGCCTGGTCCAGGGGTGGACAAGAGGGTCAAGTATCCCTGAAGCCAGAGGTTGCTGGTAAGATGCCTGAGGGCCAGCCTGTAGCAACTATTTTGTTTGGCCTAAAGTGATAAAAGTTTTGAATTAGTTGCACCATATTTTAAAATTGTGATATTTCACACACACACACACACACACACACACACACACACACACACGTATAGGCAGAAAGGAAAACAGGACACATACCAACCTATCTACCCTAATAAAAGAGAAATAAATATATAAATTGAGCATACCTCCACTAGGCCCATCAGCCAATCAGGAGCAAGTATGCAAATTAACACAACAAAGATGGCGGCTTAATTTGCATACATAGGCGAGGAGGGGCTGGGCAGGGTAGGATGCCTGCTATTGGGGGTGGGGGGGTGGGGAGAGAAGGTGGGGAGCGTAGTGGCGCTTGCAGGCTCCGGGGAGGCAGCCTGGAGTGAAGACTTGCAAAGGCTCCCGGATGGCCGGGAGCGAAGCCAGGGGAAGGAAGGCCTATTCTTGCATGAATCTTCATGCAACGGGCCTCTAGTATTCCCATTAGGGCTGACTGGCATCAAGTATCTGCTGCTCCTAGAGGTTGCCGTCCCCACCACTCTGGCCCTGAGCCTACTCTCAGATGCTCCTGTGAGAACAGACCCTTCTCCGAGACAGGGGGCAAGATCCCAGAACTTAGGAAAGTCAGTCCGTCCCCCCATATGGGGATCCAGAGGGGTCTGCCCACTCTCCCAGGCTTCTTCAGCGAGTTTACGCTACAGCTGGGATTCCCAAAGGCAGGTGCCAAATCCTGTAGCGGGGATCCCTCTTCTTTACTCACGTCTGCTCCGCCATCTGGGGGTCCATGGGGCTGGGAGGGTCCATGCAGAGCCCTGCGGGGACAGAGTGCTTTGGTTTGGAAGAAGTGCCATTTTCTGTATACCTGCCCCCACCATGTCCCAACCCTATTCAGAGAAGGAAAAAAACTGTTTCTATTTTAAATCTTGACATTACACAATGAAGCAAAACCCACCCATGGACCCCCAACAGCTGAGCCTGCCCACCCCCTCCCCCCAAATGTCCAGGGCTCCACTCCCGGTTTACTATGAAAACACTTCTGCATGGTTTGTATATCAAAACTTTGTTAAGCATTTTCCTTGAACTGGTTTAAGATCATTTGTTCTGCGAGAGATAACAGCTTTTTAAAAGGGAAATATTATAGCTGGGGGCAAGTGGGTGTTATAAAAGAACCAGCTTTCTGTTCTAAAGCCTCCCAGGTGGGGCTGTGGTTCCGGACCTTTGCTTTTAAATCGGTGAGGTCTCATCTCCCGCGGAGGGACCCCGCCCAACCGCCCAACCACCACCGGTCCTGCCGGGATGTGGTGAGCCCAGCCCCAGGAGGGCAGGGGAGGGTCCTCAGGCCCCCGGTGGTTGGAAGGACATTAGTCTGATTGGCAGGGAAATGAGGAGGCTCAGGCAGCCCCGCAAAGCCCCCCGGGCACCCCTGGGCCTCACCTGCATCCGAAGATTCAGAGGACTCAGACGACAGGGAGGATGCAGACGCTCGCCGCGGGGACAGGGATAGGCATGTGAGCAGGCTGCCTACCTGACTCTGTGGGGCCTCTCTGGGAAGGGAGTGGGGACCCAGGGAAGCAGAAAGGTAAATGTGGGGTTCGAGGGCTGGCTGGCCCATGTTCCCACCAGCCCCCCACTTCTGAAGGGCCCACCCAGCCTATGCACTGCCCCGGGGTCGGTGATGGCATGGAAAACCTGCAGGCTCCCAGAGGCCCTAAGAGTCTTCTCTTGGTTGGTGGGTTTAGGAAAGATCCTCCAGGGAGGACAGGGGGAGGTGAGCCCAAGACCAGAGGAAGGCGCTGGGCTGGGGATCATCCTGGGGGTGGGGCAGGAGAGCAGCCCAGAGAGCCTTTCAGCTCCTACCCATCCACAAGCCTTCCTAAGGGGACACCAAGACTGGGCTTCTGTTGCTGGGAGGACAGCCCAGCCCGGAGCCTGCAGGTACCTCAGGGAGCAGGACCAGCGTTTAACCCTCTAACCCCCAGGAAGGAACAGGGGTAGAGGGAGCAGGGGGAAGGGTCCTAGGAGAACTGGATTGCCACCTAGTTTCCCTCCAGGCTCCCGATCCCCTGCCTGGGGCAAAATGGTGGAGATATGGGCTATAAGGAGGCAGCGTGATGGAGGCACACTGAGGGAGGAAGGGGAGGAGGAGGAGGAGGAAGAGGAGGACGAGGAGGAGGATCATCAGAGTCTGGTGCCGAGTAAGAACAGGTCGCCTAGAGCTCTCTGTCAGCAGCACAGTCCTGGCCTCACCGTCCCTGTCCCGGGTCCCCAAAGCAGGCTCTACCCGGGATGCCTCCTTCCTCGCCTCTCGGATTCGGATCCCACGCGGGGTTCCCCAGGAGGCCCGGGAGCAACACCCCAGTGCCCACCTCTCACCCCACTCCCGGCCTCCTTGGGACGCCCTACCTGCCGAGCCCGGCGAGGTCGTGCATGGTCCGGGTGAGGGTGGCGACCGGCGAGAAGGTGGCCGCGCGCTCCGGGGACCCCAGGAGGCCCCGCGCTGCCGGCCGCAGGCCCGGGAGGTGGCCCGGGCGCTCGGCGGCCCCGCGCACGGCGGCGGGGCTGCGCGCGGGGCTCGGCGCGGCGGGGTCCGGCTGCTGCAGCTCCATCGCGCTGGGGCCCGCGGCGGCTGGCCGGGGGGGCCGGGACACCCCCAAACGCCGGGCAGGGCTGGCCCGGACCCGGGGGGAGCGGGCCTGGGGTGGAGGCGGGGGGGGGGAGGGAGGAACACGGGGCCGGGGCGAGGGAGGCGAGGGGAGCGGGGGAGCGGGGAGGGGTGAGGGCGCGGGGACCGGCCGCCGTGCGGGAGCCTCCAGCAGCAGCTGCACCTCTGCTCCTTATATATTCGAAAAATAACAGCGGCCGCGCCGCCGGCCGCCACCAATCCGGGCGCGGGTTCGCGGAGGGCGGGCCGGAGGGCGGGCCCCGCGGGGGGAAGGCGCGGAGGCCGGCCCGGCCCGCGCAGTTTCCGCGGCCGCGGAGGAATTGGGGTTCCTCCCCGGCCCCACCCTCCGCACCCCACCCCTGAAGTCCGGGCCTGCGGGTCCCGGCTTCCCACATCCGGTGTTTCGGGATGTGGTTTGGAGTTACGCGGAGCGGAGCGGGTCCCAGGGGAGCCACAGCCTCTGAGACGGCCTTGGGGTGGGGGGGGGTGGGGGGGTGGGGAGGTGGGGGGGACCCCGCGGTTTAATGTCATTGACAAGCGCCGCAGGCAGCGAGGGGCACCGCCCAGGAGTGTGCCGCACGCAGCGGCCCTGGGAGGCCGGGGCTGCCGCTTTGCAGGTGGGGCCACCGAGGTGTGAAGTTCACGGGCGCGTTCAAAGCCGCTGGTGGGGCCGAGGTTCTCCCTCCCCCGGCACCTCGGCCCGCGCAGCCCCCCTGCCCGTTCCTTCGGGAGCCCCAGGGGGAGGGGGGCCGCGGTGGGGCCAACGCGGAGCTGATGGGCGCTTCCCGGGGTCGGGGAGGGGGGGGGGTCCAGGTTAGAGGAGACGTCTGGGGTCCAGGTTTCTCTGGGGAGGCTCTGGTGGTTGCTGTAGCCGCGGGTTCGGGTGGCGAGGGCCAAGGAGGGTGTCGGTGACCATTGACCTCAAACCCAGTTGTGGAAGTAGCTCCCTTCCGCGGCTGGTTTGGCTGATGCGGTGCCAATGGCATCCCGATGTCTAATTGGCGTTCCTTTGATCGTCCGGGAGGCGGGATTTGTCCCTAGTTTAAACTGAGCATCTTCTAATCATCCTTCCAGCAGAACCGCTTTTCTGGAATGAGGCAGGAGGCTGTGCCCAAAATCAAGTGGGCGCGAGCCGCTGGTGCATCCTGTCTTCCCCGGACGGGGACGGGGACGGGGATGGGGATGAGGATGGGGACGGGGACGAGGCGGCCCTCAGCTGGGAGGGGCAGCCTCTGGCAGGCAGGAGCTGCAGCCTGCCCCCCTTCCAACCACCCACCCCTGGCGGCAAAAAGGAAGGCTGGCAGCGGGGCGTGGGGCTTGCCAGGAACAGAGCGTAGAGGAAGGGGATGGGAAGACCAGTCCCACCTCAGAGGGGTGACCTGGGAGGGTATCATGACTCTTTTCTCAACATTGTGCCTAGCCCCTGTGCTGTGCCAGGAGCTCTGCTGGGTGCTGGGCAGGAAGGCTGAAGTTCCAGGTCAAGAGTCCAGCTCCGAACCTCTGAGATTCAAGGCTGTGACTGCCCTGGGAGCCAACCAAAGACCAGAAATTAAACTGCCCTGAGGTTTCATTGTCAAAATCAGCCCAGCAGGGGTTAGCCACACCTTGCTTCTGCAGGGTGCAGAGGTGGTGGGAGTAAGCGGGGAGAGGCTGTTCTATTCCAGTCCCTTGAGTTCCCACAGTCCGGTCACCTCTGGGCCAATGGAGAGGAGCCAGGACCACAGGGAGGTCATTCCAGAGCATCCCACACGGCAGCTATGTGTATCTTCCTCAATCTCCTTTTGCCAATTAGATGTGTTTAAAAAAACAACAACACACCTAGTCAATAAAAATATGCTAAAAGAAATTGCAGCCCTAACCAGTGTGGCTCAGTGGATAGAACATGGGCCTGCGCACTGAAGGGTCGAGGGTTCAATTCCGATCAAGGGCACATACGGTACCTGGGTTGCAGGCTTGATCCCCAGTAGGGGGCATGCAGAAGGCAGCCTATCAATGATTCCCTCTAATCTGATGTTTCTATCTCTCTCTTCCTTTCCCTTTCTCTCTGAAATCAATACAAACATAATAAAAAGAAAGAAAGAAAGAAAGAAAGAAAGAAAGAAAGAAAGAAAGAAAGAAAGAGAAGGAAGGAAGGAAGGAAGGAAGGAAGGAAGGAAGGAAGGAAGGAAGGAAGGAAGGAAAAGAAATTGCAACCCTGGCCGGGTGGCTCAGTCGGCTGGAGCATTGTCCTATACACCAAAAGATTTCAGGTTCAATTGCAGGTCAGGGCATATATTGAGGTCCAGGTTCGATGCTAGCTGATCGATGTTCCTCTCTTATTGATATTTCTAACTCTCTATCCTTCTCCCTTCCTCTCTGTAAAAAATCAAAATATATTTTAAAAAATGAAATTTAAAAAAAGCAATTGCAAACATCGTAGTTAGAGGATCAACTCCTCCCACCCAGCCCCCATTCTGTGCAGAAAGCTCTGTCTTCCCAGGGAAAGGAATGACCTGGCAGCGGACTGTACACATCACACACTGGGCTTGGTTAAAGGGTGTGGCGTGACCCCAGGGCACTGCCAGAGAGGAGGAAAAATTACCACAGGCTTCTAAAATCCTGCTTCTTCAAGCCTTTTAACAAACAACATCTTTTTTGTGGGACTAATTTTTCTGGTACCTTTTTTGGGAGTCATGGATTGTGACATTAAATGGTTTCTTTGTTTTTAAGTCCTAACCTGAAGATATGTTTTCTATTATTATTATTTTTAATATATTTTATTGATATTTTACACAGAGGAAGAGAGGGATAGAGAGTTAGAAACATCGATGAGAGAGAATCATCGATCAGCTGCCTCTTGCACACCCCCTGCTGAAGATGTTCCTGCAACCAAGGTACATGCCCTTGACCGGAATCGAACACGGGACCTTTCAGTCCGCAGGCTGACGCTCTACCCACTGAGCCAAACCGGTTTCGGCTATTATTATTATTATTATTATTATTATTATTAAGTTTTAGAGAGAGAGGAAGGGAAAAAGAGAAACATCAGTGAGAGAGAAACATCTATCGGCTGCCTCCTGAATGTGCCTTGACTGGGGATGGAACCTGCAACCTTTTGGTGTCCAGGATGCCGCTCCAACAACTTAGCCACCCAACCAGGACAACATGTTAAGAGATTTTTAAAAGTTGGTATCTGGGCTGTGGCAGTGGCAGCCCCAGGAACCATGTGCCCTGCTCTTCCTTTTCCATCCGCCATCTGTGGTGGAGCCACCGCCAAGATGCAGATTTTCGTGAAAACCCTCACGAGGAAGACCATCACTCTGAGGTTGAACCCTCGGATACGATAGAAAATGTAAAGGCCAAGATCCAGGATAAGGAAGGAATTATCCTGACCTTTGCTGGTGTACTTTGTCTGACTACAACATGCAACGTTCATTTTGTGTTGAAACTTCGTGGTGGTGCTAAGAAAAGGGAGACGTCTTACTCCACTCCCAAGAACAAGCATAAGAGAGAGAAGGTGAAGCTGGCTGTCCTGAAATACTGCAACGTGGATGAGAGTGCAAAATCAGCCGCCCTCGTGGGGAGTGCCCTTCAGATGAATGTGGTGCTGGAGTTTTTATGGCCACCACTTTGACAGACATTATGATGGCAATGTTGTCTGATCTATTGCTTCAAAGAAGACAAGTAATTGTATTTGGGTTAATAAAAGACATGAACTAGCATTTAAAAAAAATGGTACATGGTACCAAAAATTCAGACAAAGTATAAAATTTAACTAGTACACACCAAAAACGGTTTGGCTTAGTGGATAGAGAGTCAGCCTGCGGACTGAAGGGTCCCAGGTTCAATTCCAGTCAAGGGCATGTACCTTGGTTGTGGGCACATTCCCAGTAGGGGGCGTGC